GCTCTTCAAAATACACTCTTCAAGCTGGAGGTCTCATACTTCTTGATTTCAAACATACTACAAGACTACAGTAATCAAAAAGTGTGGAACTGGCATAAAAACAGACACACAGACCATGGTACAGACTACAGGGTCCAGAAATAACCCCTCAAATATATAGTAAAATGATTTTCGATGAGGATGCTAAGACCATTCAATGGGGAAAGAACAGTCTATTCAATAAATGATGCTGGAAAACCTAGAAGTACACATGCAAAATAATAAAGCTGGGCCCTTACCTTGTTCCATACACAAAAATTAACTCAAAATAAATGAAAGACCTGAACATAAGACCTAACACTCTTCAACTCTCTAAACACTCTAAGACTCTTAGAAGAAAACATAGGAGAGTAAACCTTCATGACATTAGATTGCAATTATTTCCTGGATATAACACCTAAAGCACAGTCAACCAATGTAAAAATTCATAAGATAGACTACATTACAATTAAAAATTTCTATGAATCAAAAGACACAATCAACAGAGTGAAAAGGCAACCGACAGAACAGGAGAATTTATTTGCAAATCATATATATGAGGGGTGAATATCCAGAATATACAAAGAACTCCTACAACTTAACATCAACAACAAAATCCCAAATAACCTGATTTTAAAATGGGCGAAGGAGTTGAAAAAATATTTCTCCAAGGAAGATATACAAATGACCAATAAACATGTGAAAAAATACTGAACATCACTAATTATTAGGGAAATGCAAACCAACACCACAATGAGATACCATCTCACACCCATTAGTATGGCTGCTATAAATAAACAAACAAACAAACAAAACAGAAAATAGAGCCCACATGATCGCACACACCATAGTCCCAGCTACTCAGGAGGCTGGATGGGAGGATCCCTTGAGCCCAGGAGTTCCAGACCAGCCTAAGCAACATAGTGAGACCTTGTCTCTATTAAAACAACAACAATAACAAAGAGAAAATAAGAAGTGTAGGTGAGCGTGTGGAGAAACTGCAACCCTTAGGTACTCCTAATGAAAATGTAAAATGATACAGCTGCTATGAAAGACTGTATGATGTTTCCTCAAAAATTACAAACTACCATATGTTCTAGCAATTCCACTGCTGGATGTATATCAAAAACAAACAAACAAAAAAAATGCGTACTTTCTTTAAAGGTCTCAAAGAGATATTTGTACACTCATGTTCACGGCACCATTATTTACAACAGCCGATGGCAGAATCAACCCGTGTTCTCGATGGATGATAAACAAATCATGGTATACACATACCAAGAAATATTATTCAGCCTTAAAAAGCAGGGAAATTCTGATGCATGCTACAACATGAATGAGCCTTGCAGACATTATGCTAAGTGAAATATGCCAGTCACAAAAAGACAGACACTGTATGATTCCACTTATTTGGAGTACGTAGAGTAATCGCATTCACAGAAAAAGAAGGTAGAAAGGAAGTTGCTAGGGGCTGGGGAGAAGGGGCAATGGGAAGCTATTGTTTAATAGGTGTAGAGTTTCAGTTTTGCAAGATGAAGAACGGGAGACTGGTTGCACAACAATGTGAATACATTTAACAGTATTAAATTGTACAATTTAAAATGGTAAGATAGTAATTATATGTGTATATTACAATTTTTTTAAAAAAATACAAAGGTAGAATGGGAGAAAATATTTGCAAATTACACGTGAAAAAAGACTTGTACTCAAAATATATAAAAAACTCTCAAAACTCAGTAAGAGGGTAGGGCACAGTGGCTCATGCTTGTAATCCCAGCACTTTCAGAAGCCGAGGCATAACAATCACTTTAGCCCAGGAGTTTCAGACCAGCCTGGGCAACATAGGGAGACCTGTCTCTAAAAAAATTTTTTTAAATTAGCCGCGTGTGGTGGCACATGCTACTTGGGAGGCTGTGGTGGAAAAGTCACTGGGGTCCGAAAGGTCGAGGCTCCAGTGAGCCGAGATTGTGCCACCGCACTACAGCCTAGGCGACACAGTAAGACCCTGTCGCAAATAAATAAATAAACAAATTTCAATAAGAATATAAACAATCTAATAAAAAATGTGTAATATTTGAACAGACACATCATCACAGATACATGAATGTCATATAAACATGTGAGAATATTCTCAACATCATTAATTATTAGAAAAATACAAATTAAACCACAAGGAGATACCACTTTACACATATTGGAATATGTAACATTTAAAATAGACTATCCACTCCAAGTTTTGACAAGAATATGGAACAACTGGAACTCTCATGTACTATTAATGGATATATAAAATAGAACAAATACTTTGGAAAATAGTTTGGCAGTTTCTTAAAAAGTTTAACATAGACCTACCACATGACCTAGCATTTCACATCTAGGTATTTGCTCAGGAAAAATGAAAACATATGCATAAAGATTTATATCTGAATGCTCATAACAGCTTTATTTGTAATAGCCAGCAAGACGAAACAACCCAAATGTCTATCAGGAATTGAACAGACAAACAAATTGTGGTATACAGCCACACAATAGAATGCCACTAAATGATAAGAAATAATATATGCAACATGAAACAACCTCAAAATAAACATACTGAGTCAAAAAAAAAAAACCCAAACCAAAAAAAAACCTCATACTGTATATAAAATTCTAGAACCAACACCACTTATATAAAATTCTAGAAAATGCAAACTAATCTCCAGTGATGGAAAGCAGATGCTCCTTAAGGATAATGGAGGTAGGCGATAGAAGGGACAGACAGGGACCACAAAGGGGCACAAGGAAAATTTTGGGGAATGACAGCTATGCTCAACATCTTGACTGTAGTGATGGTTTCATGGATACACATATGTATCAAAACCTATAAAATTATAAAATTTAAATGTGTGTAATGCATTATATGTCACTTATACCTCAATAAATCTCTTTTAAAAACTGCTTTAGGATTGAACAATTTATTTTTTGAAGCACTGATACATATATGAGTATATAAATTAAAATTGTTCAAACGGTTAGGAAAAAAAAAATTCGACCACAGAATAATCTGCCTAAAAGGCATTTCTCTTTAGAACACAGAATTCTTAAGGTTCTTCCAGTTCAAAACCTCTACAATCTAATTGGCATGTAAGAGGTTAACAAAACTACAATTTGTCTTACAATCTCTAAAGACACTGTGGAAAATGTAAATACATTAATCAATAAGGGTTTCATAACATCATTTCTTTAAAAGAATTACATAGAAGAGAAAAAATATTCAGAGAGATGCATAATACCTCATAATATGCATAATACTTCAGATAACTTGCTGGTGGACTGAAAAGCATCTGAACTGTGCTATTTGCTCCCATAAAAAGAAAGCTTACTAGCAATGATGTCAGATTTTCTTCAAAAGTTATCAGTTTAAAAGATGGAATAAATGATATTTATGGTTTAAGGATATAAGTATTAAATTTTCTTCCCAATGAATGTAAGCTTTAGAGCATAATTTCCAATTTTATGGTTCAAATTCAGTAAAAGTAGGAACTCTTATCTGCACTGTAACATCTAATTAAATACATAAAGAATAGAAAGATTTGAAATGAGAACCCACACCAAAAACATCATGTTCTCTGTCAGCGAAAGGTCGGAGAAAAGATCTGGAAAGCAGTGCGAAAATGTAGCCCATGCCTGTGCTGACAACCTTTTATTGCTCCCTTCATCCTATCTAGTTACGAATTTCAGCAGACAGAAATACTGGGTGGGGCTTAGAAGACTGTGAAATGATTTCCTGTTGGAAAATGCCTTGCTGCTTAGCACAAAGCTATATCAATAACTCCCCAAAATGTTTGAACAGAAAAGAGCAAATGAAGGCATTTGGTCAGAAGATCAGGATTCAAATTCCAGCTTGACCAGACATTGAGCTATGTAACATTGATTAAGCCACTTCATATTCATTTCCTCATCAGTAAAATGAAAAGTTAGGTGTGTGTACACACATACTAATTTTAATCAGTAGGTTAAGTATAAAAAGTAGAAAACTTGAAGAATGGGAGACAGTTGTGTATTCACACCAACTTAACCAATAATGCAATAGCTTTTTGTGAGCAGTCTCTGTCTCCCAGAAACTGTCAGATGCTTGAGACAGAGATTAATAAGTGGTTTGGTCTCCTCTTAAAAGCGAGCATTAAAAAAAAGAAAGAAAAAAAAAATTCCTGCCTTGATGAACAGACAATGCAGCTGATAAGACAACTAAGACAAACAGAACTATCAAATACAATGAGTTTAGTACGATGAGAGAGGAAAGTTCAAGTATAATGGGAGCACACAGGAGTGGGAGCACACAGGAGGAAACATCACTAGCTAGATTACTAGTTCAAGTTAGAGAAATCCATCATGTATACGAAAAACCACGGGGATTTCATAGAGAATGCTCCACCAGGACAAGCAAAACGCAAGAGGTGGGATTTTAAGAGCTTAAACTAAGTTTCTTAATACTCTTAATAATTATAATCAGTTGCTACAGCTAATTAGACCTCAAAAATAGTCTAAACCAATCTTCACAGAATCTTTACAAAAACAGAAACACACAAAAGTCTCAGACTATCTTATTTGAAATGACTATAAATGGTATTTTCACATGATTCTAAAATAACAGGAATCCATTTTTTCTTCTAATACCATATTTCAATTTTATTTACTGATTTTGGTATTTGCTTTGGTAGAAAACACTGCTAATTTTGATCCCTATGCTTGACCTACTGTAATTTTTAAAATAACAACAAAAAAACCTTCACACAAGCCAAATGGAAAGTAGTGTTATAAGTACATAAAAATTAAATAGTAACAATTTAACCAAGGTCACTAGAACCTTTTCGGTTTGTTCTCCACTTAAAAGCAGAGCATTTAAAAAAAAGAAAAGGAAAAAAAAGAAAAGAAAAACTATGCATGTGTGCCTGTGTTTGGGATGGGACAGTTTCTTTTAGACTTCCTATTGAGGTACTTACAGTGCTGATCACAATCAACTCTGGCAAACACTACTTGATTTTCATTTGGAAATTCTTCCTTAATGACATCAGAAGCTTCCTCAAAAATTGGATGCAACATCTGACTGAAACGACACCTATACACAGAGAAGGATGCCAATTAGAAATGAAAAGCAGAAGTAATAAAATCTTATTTCAGTTATTGCCCGTTGACATTTGATATAGGCACAATGAACAACTCTGCGAGATAATCACACACTTAATTTAATCATGGACCCTGACGTTGCTTAATGGAGATGAAGACAATTTTGAATTCAAAGACTGTATAACAATTCTAAGAATGTATAATAGATTTTGGTTTTATTCATCTTAAGATAATTGCCAGTATTATGGAGCACACAGCTAAGGATCTCTTGCAGAGGTCATAAAACAAGTCTGAAATAAGCCCTCTAAGAAGTACTACTAGGATTTGCAACTACTGAGGCTTGAACATTTATGAAAGAAATTAGCTTTCTCTATTTTATTTAATTTTTTTTGAGACAGGATCTTATTCTGTTGCCCAGGCTGGAGGGCAGGGGCACAATCTCAGCTCACTGCACCCTCCAACTCCAGGGCTCAAGTGATCCTCCCACCTCAAAATAATAAAATTTTAGACTACTGTGTAAAATATTTTAACTGTATTGTAGATATTAGACTGCTCCACCTGGCTAGTTCTATCAAATCTCACAGGCAAGTTAGCATACCAAATAAATAAGTTATATTAAAAGAATATATGGTATATAATGAACTATTTCCCCTCAAAATTCACCCCTTGTTAAAATGGGCTTTTACATCTGTAAACATACTAAATACAGTAAGTCTAGAAGCAAGTATCTTAAATTTCTAACCAAGACTTCCTGTCTATATTTTCTTTTTTCTTTTACTTTAAACACAAGGCACAAACCCCACAACAGTCTATAAACTTGTTACTTCTAACTGTCCCTTAATCAAGTCAAACATTTCACAAATACAGTCATGTGGTGTTTAACAACAGGCATACACTCTGAGAAATACACCATTAGGTGATTTCTTCATTGTGCAAACATCATAAAGTATACTTACACAAACCTAGACGGTATAGCCTAGCATGCACCTACACTATATGGTATACAGCCTCCTATTGCTCCTAGGCTACAAACCTGTACCACATGTTAATATACTAACTACTGTAAGCAACTGTAACACAACAGCACTTGTGTATCTAAATGTATCTAAACATAGAAAAGGTACAGTAAAAATACGGTATTATACATGGGACTTCTGTCATTGACCTAAACATCATTATGTCATGGATGACTTATGTTCTAGGTCATTAAAGGGACCCAATAAGAAGGGGAAGAATCAGAATTAGTAACCAGCTGAGTTTGAATGGTCTTTCTCTTACAGAAGAAGTATTAAGGATATGTAAACAAACTACAGTTGCTACTCTTGCTTCCGGAGCCCTTTTCCACCAAATAATTTACTCAAATGATGTCAGTGAACAGTTTAATCCACATGTAATTAGGTCATACATATTAGCTTTCATACAATAAAAATATTGGAAAGCCTGTGAAAGGATGCAAACAATATACTTCCTCCCTATCTCTTCTTGTGTGTATATATATATCTCTTCTAGCCCACTCACCTGACTTCCTAAGGAGATGTCCTAGAATATACCAAGGAGACACATCTGTATCTTCAATCTCTTGCTTTCAAGTGGCTCTTTCCTCTTTTAGCATTCTTAAATCTCTCCCATCAGGGATAAGTGGGTGGGGTCTGTGGACATCATGGACTGTGTCTTATTTGACTATGTAGTCTAATAAGCATTCAATATATGTGTATTAAATGAATAAATAGACAGAATGGAGTGGCTAGGACCCCAGGTTTGCAGGTTCTTACTGTCTGTAGAAAATAAGGTAGCTGGAGGACAGGGGAGGCAGGGAGTCCCATTAATCAGGGGCTGATTAATGGTTTCTTGAAAAATTTAGATCTGACCTAGTGAAGAAAGAGCGGGCAAGCCTCTTTATGGCTTAAGGGCAACGTAAAAAAACACACCAAGGGCTTCTTTTCTCTAGATTGTCCAGTTTGCCACCCAGTAAGTATTTAAGCATGGTTCATGTTTAAAATAGGACCTGTCTTAATACAGGTTGAATGTCCCTAATCCGAAAATTCAAAATGCTTCAAAATCTAAAACTGTTTGAGCACTGACAAGATGCTCAAAGGAAATGCTCATTAAAGCATTTTGTATTTCATATTTTTGGGGTTAGTGATGTTGAACCAGTAAGTATAATGCAAATATTCCCAAACCTGAAAAAATCCAAAATCTGAAACACTTCTGGTCCCAAGTATTTCAGATAAGGGATACTCAACCTGTACCAAAAGATGAAAAAGGAAAATGAAATAAAATGTTACGTTTATAAAAGGAACATCACAAAAGCAATGGATCTATTAAAAGGGCCTAACGGTCATCTAAACCTAATCTCCAATCTAGTACTTAAATCAATCCTTAACAAATCTACCAAATAGATAAGTCTTTGCAGAGACATTCTGAGGGCACTTACTAATATGATCTAGTTAGAGAAAGAAATAAGCTTTGCAGTCAGGCATACCTGAATTTAAATCCCAGTTCCACCACTTACTAGCCATATGACCTTTCTGAGCCTCAATTCCTCAACCTAAAAGGAAATTATAATACCTACCTGCAGAGTAGTTCTGAGTATTTAAAACAACCTATGTAAAGAGTCTGGATGGGAATGGTTAATGGGTACAAAAATATAGTTAGAATGAATAAGATCTAGTAGGATGACTACAGTAAACAGAAATGTATTGTACATTTTTAAATAAAAGAGTAAAACTGGAATGTTTGTAACATAAATGATGAATCCTTGAAGTGATGAATACTCCATTTACCCTGATGTGTGTTTTTTTTGTTTTTGTTTTGAGACAGAGTCTCACTCTGTCACTCAGGCTGGAGTGCAACAGCATGATCTGAGCTCACTGCAACCTCCACCTCCTGTGTTCAAGCAATTCTCCTGTCTCAGCCTCCCAAGTAGCTGGGATTACAGGTGCCCACCACATCCGGCTTTTTGTATTTTTAGTAAAGACGGGGTTTCACCATGTTCGTCAGGCTAGTCTTGAACTCCTGACCTCAGGTGATCCGCCCGCCTTGGCCTTCCAAAGTGCTGGGATTACAGGTGTGAGCCACTGCGCCTGGCCATGTGATTATCATACTTTGTACACCTCTATCAAAATATCTCATGTACCCCATAAATATATATACCTACTATGTACCCATAAATATTAGGTAATCTATAATAGTCTGGCACAAAACAGCATTATTAACCACCTACTACAGTATTACTCGAGGAGCTGCAGTATTTTTAAGCACCTCTATTACAGAATTATTAAACTGTGCCACATCCATAACTTCCAGAAGGAACTCAGAGTCTAGACTTTGAGGCCACATAGTATTAAGTCTATGTCCTACAGCCAATTACCCAAGCTTTTTCAGCTGTATAAAAGAGTATTAATTCATTAACAACTTAAGGTATTCTTGAGGTAATGTTTTCCCAAATAACTTAGTCCACGTTTCCAATTCAGTTTTTTTTTTTTTTCCAAAAGATCCCAGCAGCATGTTCTATTACTCTTTCTTGCAACATACAAAATCTCTCAGTCAGGAGAAAGTCACTCTAGTTTTTCTTCAGACATCATCTAGTTGGGTAACCTTGGGAAAGTACTTCACTCCCCCGGATTTCAGTTTTCTTATTTTAAAATGGATTGGACTACATAATCTTCTGCCAAATTTTGTGGCTATTAATACATCCTGACAACCCTAATTTACCTTGAAAAATGCTACCTTTGTTACATATTTTATAAATAGCATTTCCTCTGTGTATCTTCAACTTTTTTAAACTGAAGTTTTTAAAATAATCATACCATATATACATTCATTTAGTAGACATTATGTACTTATCAGCCACATATTAAGCAAAGTGCTTGGGGATTAAAGTTGAAAATAAAACTATGGTATGTATTTTCACAGAGCAAACAATGTAGCAGGGAGTCACCAACTGGATTACAGCCTACAAGTGTTATGACTGGGTAAGTATGGGTGTTACGGGAAATAACAGAAGGGCTCCTAATCAGAGTCAAGAGTAGGGGGAGGTGTATTGATCCAGAAGGATAACCTGGAGAAAGTGGCAACTAATCTAAGACTTGAAAGATTAGAAGTTAACTAAGTAAAGAAATGGGTGACAGAAGAATGATCTATCCAGGAAGGGGAAATATCATGCCTAACAGTCCAGTGATGAAATACAGAATTTTACAGGAATTGAAAGCAGCTTAGTTTAACTGGAGCAGAATGTGGAAGTGGAGAGAGGCCAGACATAACAGCCACAGAGGGAATAAGGGACCAGTTCGTAAGGGGCCTTCTGTAAAGGATTTAAATTTTAACCCAAAGGTAATGGAAACATTTTAAGGGTTTTAAGAAGGGGTATATACTAATCTTATTTACACTGTAAGAAAGAGAACTCTGGCTTACATTGTAGAGAACATAACGGAGATACGTAAGCCTAGAGGCACAGAAAAGAAATGAGGAGACTGTAGCATGAATTCTAAGTAAATGACAGGACCGTGACCTGGAGTATGGCAGTCATAGCTAGTAGGTAGTAAGCCTTAAAGGGTCAGATAATATACAGAGTGTCTAGTGATAAAGATTATGCCAGTGTTTCAGACTCTTTCCAGCTAAATCTCCCTTGTGTTTCAGAATCTTTCTAGCTAAATCTCCCTTCTTCCTGTCTCTATGCCATATTCTGTAACATCTACTATACAACATGTTGTTCTAGATGCTGGGAATACTGAGTATGCCATTATCTCTGCCCTCAAAGTTTGTTTGCTAGGGCACAAACAAATAAGAAAAGACAAAACATTTAGTAAGAAAAAGAAAGTGGTACATAGAGTACTATATAAACACAAAAGACAGGCTCTGATTCAGCCAGGGGAAGGAGTAAAGGTATCCTAGAAGAGGCAGCAGATTGTATAAATTTTAAAATGTCAACATTATTTTTCCTTCTAAACTTGCCATACCCAAATCATGACTTACAAACACTACCCTCCTTCCACAGTCAGGACAAATACAGAATTGCAATATGTGTTCCCTTTGAGTGGGGGGTGGAGAGAGTCATATTTAAGTTATGTGTTACCTGTTTTAAGATATGTGATAACAGAATCAGCTCTATTTCTTTCTTAAAACAGAAATCCTTACCAAATTAAACTACTTCCTTTGTGGATGAAACTTAATTGACTTTATGTATGGAATACTGTCTTGAAATAGTAAAAGCCTTCCCTTCCCCTTTCTAGCAAAGAAAAATTAACCTTTAGCAAGTAAAAACAAACCCAAACCCAAACAATAAGATTACTTACCAGTCAGCATAAAAATTTACTAAAGCAACATCAGCATTGTCTGAAATTGAAAGACAAAACCAAATAAACTAAGTTATTTGTAATAATTTTTACATAGTTAAAGATACAGTTTCATTATGATCTTTGTCCAATATAAGGGTCCACTTAAAAAAACACAGTAACTATTATCTCTCACTCAGAAACCTAGAGTCATGGACAGCTTATAGAATTTATGGGAAACTTTGTCTCTTTTCTCTGTATGCCTTATAAGTTCACTGCATCTTTTATTTTAAGGAGACTGGGTCTCACTCTATTGCCCAGGCTGGAGTGCAGTGGCAGGATCAAAACCCAGTGCAGCCTCAAACTCCTGGGTTGACGTGATCCTCCCACCTCACCCTGCCAAGTAGCTAGGACTACAGGCAACCACCACCACACCTGGCTAACTTTTTTTTTTTTTTTTTGAGACGGAGTCTTGCTCTGTCCCCCTGGCTGGAGTGCAGTGGCGCGATCTTGGCTCACTGCAAGCTCCGCCTCCCAGGTTCACGCCATTCTCCTGCCTCAGCCTCCTGAGTAGCTGGGACTACAGGCGCCCGCCACCGCGCCCGGCTAATTTTTTGTATTTTTAGTAGAGATGGGGTTTCACCGCGGTCGCGATCTCCTGACCTTGTGATCCGCCCGCCACAGCCTCCCAAAGTGCTGGGATTACAGGCGTGAGCCACCGCGCCCGGCCTTTTTTTTTTTTTTTTTTTGAGACAGAGTCTCACTCTGTTGCCCAGGTTGGAGTGCAGTGGCGTGATCTCGGCTCACTGCAAGCTCTGCCTCCCGGGTTCACGCCATTCTCCTGCCTCAGCCTCCCGAGTAGCTGGGACTACAAGCGCCTGCCACCACGCTCGGCTAATTTTTTTGGTATTTTTAGTAGAGACGGGGTTTCACCACATTAGCCAGGATGGTCTTGATCTCCTGACCTTGTGATCTGCCCGCCTCGGCCTCACCTGGCTAATTTTCGAATTTTTTTGTAGAGACAGGATCTGGTTATATTGCCCAGGCTGGTCTTGAACTCCTGGCCTCAAGCAACCTCCCACCTTAACCTTCCAAAGTGCTGGGATTACAGGCATAAGCCATCACACCGGGCTCCGTTCATTGCATCTTAAATGAATTTAAAGCAAATGGGAAATTAAGCCCAGATAAGGCAAGTAAGCTACTATCATAAACAGTGGAATGATCTGTATTTTATTTTTTGATCTTCCATATTCACAACTGAGAATTAGTTCTGCAAATAAAATCCCACATCACAGAAAAGACCTGTATAACTAAGTTATTTCTAAACCTCACATATCCCACCTAGTTGCAACAAGTAATCTACAACTGTGTTGCACAAGATGCCAATTTTTTGGTTCCTATCCATTTAACAGTTATTCCCTCCTACAAAAATAACAGCATCATTTGCATATCAGGATGTAAAGACATGAGAAAGATGTAGCGCTTTTTGCCTAACCCTAATTCAGAGAAACTTAAACTCCTCAAGCACTCATGAAAAAAACAAAGATATTCTAGAATTTGAAAGATGACAGAAGTGAGAATGATATGTGAGTTTCAATTCCTTTCTTCCCTTTTTACCATCAAGTTACTTTTTATATACTTGCTTATTTGCTCTAAAGCAATGATTCACAAACTGTGGTTCCTGGACCAGAAACACCAACATCACCTGGGAACTCACAGAAATGCAAATCCTTAGGTTGGGGTCTAGCAGTTTCCTAGCAGTATAGATATTAAAAAGTGTTCCAAGTGATTCTGATACGTGCTAAAGTTTATGGAACCACTCCTCTAAAGAGACTCCATAAGACAGGAATAGACTTTTAGCATTTAAAGTTCCAGGAACATAATATATTACACTCAATGAATGTTGTAACTCCTTTTGCCTCTATTATATGCGTAAGATGGACGGTTAAAAAAAGAAATTATTTATGCACACTGTACATTTTCTTAAAGCTCCTAAATTATTATTTTCTATCAACCACATCTTCACCTTTCCTTTACTATTTTTAAAAAACAAGAAATGGTTTCTCAAGTTAATTATATCCATAATCACATTGTCAGCAAACAAACCATTCAGCAAAAATCTTATCAGGCCAAGTGTGGTGGTTCATGCCTGTAATCCCAGCACTTTGGGAGGTCAAGATGAGAGGACTGCTTGAGGCCAGGAGTTCGAGACCAGCCTGGGCAACATAGCGAGACCATGTCTCTACAAGAAAAATTTAAAATTAGCTAGGTGCAGTGGAGCACACCTGTAGTCCTAGCTAACTTGGAAGGTTGAGGAAAGAGGATTGCTTGAGCCCAGGAGGTCAAGGCTGAAGAGAGCTATAATATTATCATGCTACTGCACTCCAGTCTGGGTGACAAAGCAAGACCATTTCTCTAAAACAAAAAATAAAAATAGTACTGAACTTAACTGGACCAATAACAATAAAAGAGATCAGAGTAGGCAATCTAATTAAAGGGAAAAAAGAAAAAAGTCTAGACTGTGTCCCAAGGTCATTAACATTTAGTACTGTACAGCGAGAACTATTGGTCTCTAAGTAGGATAATCAAAACATTTCATGAATTTGTTAAGAATGGTATCTACATCAAGTCAAAGAAATAAAAAAGACGAAAAGTAACCAAAAGTGCTTTGATAATTCAGAAAGTCATGGAATTAATCAGAATGCCAGCTCTTGATCTGTGCTAGCTGAGATTTTATTGTGTGTTTTTTTTTAGAGAGAGAGTTGTAAACTAACTCTCTACAGAGAAGAGTACACTTAAAAAATATTGAGGTACTTACTTAAAATTTCATCTATATTCTCTGTATCAAGACTTGTTATTTCAGTTGTTACAGGAGTAAAAACCCAAGTTACCTGAAAATTTAAAAAATGAGAAATTAATAAATGTGTCCACAAAAGGCAAATACGTAAAAGCGGAAAGTCTAAAAATAAATAAAGTTGATTCCACCTGTTCCTTAGAAAATTATATATCAACTGAATTGAATCTTTATTATCTAGTCTAATCTTTCACTAGATAAATGAAATAGAAATACTAGCTTCTCAAAACTAGAAATTGATCAAATAAAACTTTCTATACTTGCAAATATACAAAATAGCTTCTAAAGAATTAGAAAAACTGAGAATATACATATCTTTTCAAATTAATACTTTCAAGAACTTTAGCGCCACAAGAAAAAACGTGTGAGATTATCAGTGTTTCAAGTATAAATATAAAAACCAACGTTAAGTCTGCTGATTCTATCCTGCCATGTTTCCAAGACAGAAGAAAATAATGAAGAATGCAAGAAAGACTTTTGCAAGTTGTAAACCAAAAGCCCTTCCTGTATAATTTTCACTTATTGGTGATAACAATGTGTTACATGAGAGGCTGTTAAAAAGAAAATAAGAATGTTTTTGCACTTTAATGAACCTGAAATCCAAAATTCAAGTTTATCAAAGAAAATCTTAGCCTACCATCTGCAAAACAAAGAAAATATAAAATTTTAAACTAAACTAGCAAACGTTTACTTATTTTAAAAAGTAAAATTTAGTGTATTTTATTTTTAGTTTCTAACTTTAATCACTTGGTGTTTGCTGCCTGGAGAGTTTTTTGTTTGAAATAGAGTTTGTGTATGGAAATTGACTTACTAAATCACTGCTTTTTACTGAATGACAACTAACTAGTCAGGCTCTCATCAAAGTGCTGAAGACTATTCCTTTGCCCACCCATTTCCTGAATACTTCAGCACTTACAACAGACTTAAAACTTTTATAATTCACCAACAATTCAATCTAAATGCTATAAAGAGATACAATGATGCTAGTATATAAATAAGCCCAGCTAAATTTTAAAAATATTTCTGGGCTGGGTGCGGTAGCTCATGCCTGTAATCCCAGAACTTTGTGAGGCCAAGGCAGGCAGATCACGAGGTCAAGAGATTGAGACCATCCTGGCTAACATGGTGAAACCATATATATATGTATATTATATATAAATTATTATATAATTATATAATTATTATATATAATACATATATAAATTATATAATATAATTATATAATGTATTACATATAATTATATATTATATAGATATTTCTATAGACTTATTCTTTTCTTAGGAAAGGCCTAAGGATAACACTAAGTCTTATTTTTAAATTACTGTAACGGTGTAGCCAATAACTATCATGTCTGTTAGCAACCAATAAATTATACTCTCCTAAAAGTAGGCTAAATAATTGCAAATCTCTAAATATTTGACTTATAAAACTAATTTCATTATTTTCAGTGCCTCAAACATTAACTGTAAAGATCAGACTTCCCTCACTAGTCATTAGTTACTACTGATAGGGTTTAGGACACATTACTCCAAAATACGGCACGTTGGCATTTGAGGAAACAGAAGCAAAAAGGTCTCCCTGACCTTCTCCTGCCCTTCTCCCCTAAACAGGTCATAAAATAATTCTCTGACATTTCTTTAAAGTAGGTCTTAAGACTCCCCCTAAGAGACATATCCTCTAGACCCTGAGAAAAGGAATATCCCAATCTCTGAGTACACAGAGATGCCAAGAAGAATCTGAACTAACAGTTCCCTCAGTTTATTACTATTAGATCATAACCGCTTTGTCCAGTCGTATGTCTGTACAACTGTTCACTCTTCATCAACCTATGAATTTTTAAAGTTTTTCCCACTTCTTTGGGTTGTAATTTCTGAAGGCTCCCATGTCATGTAAAACTTATATTAAATAAATTTGTATGCTTTTCTCTTGTTAGTCTACCTTTTATTACAGGAGTCTCAGATATGACCTAGAGACGGGTAAGAAATCTTTTCTACTCTACATTATCAATGTCTTCATAACAGATCCTGCCTTCATAAGTATCTGACCAGTTCTACATAACTGTGGATCCCAATAATATTGGTAACAGCAAGATTTTACACTTGTGTGCTAAAGAAAAACTCAAGAAGGCAGAAAAATATTATCATAGAACAATGAAGTTGGCATTATCAAAGTCAAGTCATTAAATAATTCAATAATATTTACAGTGTCTACTAGGTACTGAGGGCACAAATGCATAGAGCATGGTGTGTGCTGCCTCGAATCTGGGTAAGTGGGATATCCATTGCTCAAACATCTATCATTTCTTTGTGTTGGGCTCCAAATCTACTCTTTTGGTTATTCTGAAATATTTTTGAAGAGTTAATTATCATCTATCAAAATATGTAGAGAGAATGAATATATGTTTAAAATCTAAAGTTAATAGTTTTTTACTAGCTGGGCACAGTGGCTCATGCCTATAATCCCAGCACTTCGGGAGGCCAAGGCAGGAGGACCCCTTGAGGCCAGAAGTTCAAGACCAGCCTAGGCAACATAGCAAGACCCTGTCTCTACAAAAAAACTTAAAAAATTAGCCAGGCATGGTGGCACATGCCTGCATTCCTAGCTACTGGGGAGGCTAAGGCCACTGGGTCACTTGAACCCAGAAGTTCGAGTTTGCAGTGAGCTATGATTGTGCCACTGCACTCCAGCCTAGATGACAGAACGGGACCCTGTCTCACAAAAAAAAAAAAAAAAGAGAGAGAGAGAGAGAGAGACAGGGAAATAGCATTTTATCTTGAAACACTTACATGGGAAAAACATTTACATGCTAAGTAATGGCAAAAATGAGGCAATGATCAATTTGGCTGTATTAAATAGATAACTATTACTTTAAACACACTGTGCTAATAAATATGCAAGTGGTAAGATTGGTATTTTGCTAACAGTTGTGTTTGTTAAGAGGGCCCAAAGCAAGAAAACTCTCTGACCCAGTAATCTCTGCTCCCTGTAGGGAGTAAAGGAGGCATTTTCCTGTTAGCTTATCATTAACATTTCTACTAATATGCAGTATGAAGGGAAAGACGTGTTGTTTATTTGAACTGTTAGTAAGCTTCACTAGTCTGACAAATTGTTTCTTTTCATGTCAGCCCTGGGCAGTAACAAGATTCTCCCAGGAAAACATCTTCATGTGTCAAATGCTATAGTGCTTAAGTAAAATAAAGTATAACTCCAGACCATAAAGCTTTTGATAGGGATCATTAATATTTTTTTCAATTTAGACTTGAATAAAACTTCTAAATTTATGTTAAAAACAAAAACATATGGAAATTTTCATAGATCTCAATAGTTATGAAGAATATAGTCTCTAATGATGAAATATTTAGACAACATATACAAATATACAGATATGAACTTAGGAAGTATTTTACAACTTGGTCATTCTTTCCAGTTTATTAGCTCATTTTCTTGCCAAGAAAGCAGAGCAGAGTGGCATCTTTAATCATCTCCCATAATTCATTAGATAAGTCCTCCATGCATTTACTATACCAACTATTACATTTCAGCCTAGTGACGGGATCTTATATAAAAAGGCATACGAGTAAAATGGCAAATATCATACCCAAATGCACTTAAAAGACTAATAAAATTGAAAGGCTAGCTTTCAATAACAGGAGCTTCTTCAGCAAGGAAAGAATATTTTCTTCTGTTAGATGGTTATTAAAAATTTGGATCCCTCCTCGCTCTGAAAACTGAGAGCAGTTTCTATAGGGTGTAATTATTCTGTCTTAAGAAACACATTAATTCCATCCTTAAATCAGTTATTTGTGCTGGTGTCTTACTTCCTCCAACAGACTGGGAGTACCTTGAAAGTAGAGACCACTTTATTCAATTTTGTATCCCACAGATCACTGTACCCTGTTTGTACACAAGAAACATTCAAATATGAACTAAATGAATGACTAGACGGATGAATAGGTAGATGATGTTAACACACTAAGAATTTAGAGAGACGATATTGGATACGAGAAGTAGGAGGAAAAGGTCCCGAAATGGAAATTGAGAACAAACATTTTAATATGTTTGAGGAAAATGAGGTTATCAAATAAAAATAAAGTCTATACTATAATTTGGTTTTAATTATATAATAGCAAAAAGCACACCACTTGGTGATGACTCACAGACTTAGAAGGAATCTCACAAAGGATCTTCCCACCTATTGCAGAAACCCCTCTTCATCACTACGTAACAGTTGCCATAAACCCCTAGTAATTTCTTCTGGTTCCCCCAGCTGTTCTTTGATATGATTTCCAGACACTTCAGCACATACTGTCACACTGCATAACAATGTTTTGGTTAATGAGAGGCTACATATATGACAGTGGTCTCATAAGATTATAATGAAGCTGAAAAATTCCTGGAGCCTCTTGACGTCTTGATAATCCTGACCCTGTGTATGTCTAGGCTAATGTGTGTGCTTTTGTCTTGGTTTTCAACAAAAAAGCTAAAAAGAAAAAAATATTTTAATAAAAAAAGCAAACAGAATGAGGGTATAAAGAAAGATGCTTTTGTACAGCTATGTAATGTGCTGGTATTTTAACCTCCATATTATTATAAAAGAGTCAGAAGTTAAAAATTAAAACATATAGTTAAAAAGTTACAGTAAGCTAAAGTTAATTTAGTATTAAAGAAAAAAGATATCTTAAAATAAGTTTAGTATTACCTAAGTTTATAAAGGCTACAGTAACGTACAGTAATAACCTAGGCCTTCTCATTCACTCATCACTCACTGACTCACCCACAGCAACTTCCAGTCCTGCAAGTTTCATTCATGTTAAGTGCCCTATACATGTATATAACTTTTTTTATCTTTTATACTATATTTTTACTGTGTCTTTTCTACATTTAGATACACAAATACCATTGTATTACAATTGTCTACAATATTTAGTAACATACTATACAAGTAGCCTAAGAGTAATAGGCTATTCCATATAGCCCAGATGTGTAGTAGGCCATACCATCTAGGTTTGTGTAAGTATATTCTATAACATTTGCAC